TATTTGACACAATTTACCTATTTAGGTTTTTGAACTACCAGGGACAGTATATTGGGACTCTGGATAAAGTCTTTATGTAGGAACTCATGCATAATTGTATGCTTAGGCCAAATAGACGGATCAAGTGATCTAGATAGTAAAGAAAAAGGAAGTAGAATCTTAAAGTAGAAAATATTGCGCTTATGTCTAAAAATGAATTTGGTCAAAGATAGCCGTTCGAGGTACCACTGCTCTCAGTTGAAGTCCCGACCGAGAGAAAGAAGGTGGAGCCACTCCCAAAAGTGATCTCGTGGCAGAAACGATGGCAGCGTCGGTAGCAACGGAAGGAACAGGAACGGTGACACGAACAGTGGGGACATCATCAGCAGCAAGCACTTCACCACTGGGAGCACTCACAGCGGTGGCGACAATGATGGATGTAACTGCATCATTGCTATTCGGTGTAAGAAACACCGGAGCGACTGATGGCGGATTGAGTAATGGCGAGGCATGACCGCTCGGAGTAGCAAAGAATTCCGATGAATGTAGATGAGAACAAAGCGTTCCAACTCCAATAGGTTGCACTCAAAAGTTTGAGGCTAAGGAATTGGGTTTCCAGGGTCAGGAACTTCTTGTTGAGAGCGATAAATTGCTTCCAGACATCCTGAAAACCAGTACGAGTCTGTCTCATAAAAGTGCGCATTTCGGCCTCAATCTCCCGGCAGGCCAAACATGACCAAGTCAGACCCATACGCTTTGAGATGAGATCGCGTAGCCGCCCACAATTACCACCACCAGCAATTTTATATGGGCGACATTGTCGCATAGCCTGCAGCTGAGGAATGAATCGCCAACTATGTTGCCACCGAATTCGCATTCCTTTGCACTGCAGACAACAGCCTAACTCTCAATAACTGTTTTTTCTCTCTCACTCTTGTAACTTTCTGTGCAGTAATGCTCTTACTTATAAGCTGTTGCTGCAACCACTCTCCTCTCTCATCTTATCTCTCTAAGCCAGCGATGCCCAGGCCCATTGCCCTCCGAGCCCTTTCGTTTTTGTAATTGCCCTCAGCATAGGAAACCAATTCATGTATGCATACACAGTTTGTGATGTGTGTGCCAGCATACCGAAAGCCCAACACATGCAAACAACTTTGTGTGTATGCGATCCGTCCAGCAAATACCGGTTTTGTCTCTTCTCTAATTGGTGTCAACCCGACAGTTGGTATTGTTTTTTTTGTTGTCTTTTCTTCGAGTTTGCACTGTTCCCTTATTGGTATTTGTGTTTTTGTTTGTGAGTATTGGTGAGTGCACTGCCGTAAGCTGAATTTGGGCATCGCTGCTCTAAGCATTTGCTCTGCACAGTTGTCTGATTGCTATTAGTTTTGAACTTTTTTTTTCCGAAACAAAAAAAATAAAAGACATCAATATGGAATTTTCTGCTGGTTACTTACTCCGACCACTCCCTTAGTGCAGCAGTTGATTACGTTTGCTACTCCAAGGGCAACGATCTCTGCTGGTGATGCAGATTCGGGAGCCGAATGCGTTACTTCGGAGAGTATGCAGTTAGAAATGTCTGTAGCGTCCGTGTCCATCGAGTCCGCACCCAACCCCTTAACTATCCCCTCAGTTTCGCTCCCTAAAGAGTTTAAGGCTAAGAAAAAGAATGTGCCCCCCATTACTCTTCCTAGCATTCAGACCAGTGCTCCATCTTTACCCTCATCTTCCACCTCAACTTCCACCCATCCAAAAAACTAACTTCCTCTCTTTTAGTTACCTACCAGAATGCTAGAGGCCTGCGTAGTAAGTTCAGCACTCTTTTTCTTGAGAGTCTCTCATTCTCGTCCCATGTTATTGTGTTTACCGAGACCTTGTTCAAGCCGGCCATCCTCAGTTTCGAAGTTTTGGCAGGTCGGTACACAATTTTTAGAAATGACCGTTCGTCTCGACGTGGAGGTGGGGTCCTCATTGCAGTGGACTCAAACTTCACGTCGGAACATTTCATTTCAGGTTCAACAAGACCTGGAATTCCTGTGCGTAAAACTGACTCTACCAGGCTTTTCCATTTTCATTACTTGCTCGTATATTCCACCTTCCTCGGATATCTTAATATACGAGCATCACCTGTCCGCTTTAAAAACTGTTTCTTCCTCGCTATCAGATAAAGACCATATGAGGTTAGGTTAGGTTTATAGGGCTGCTCGACTGAAGTCGAGGTCACTCGGAGGCAAGTCTGCCCATTGTGATGCCCACACTCGTCACGGGATATTGTCCGGTGCCTAGGGAGGTTTCGCGAACCATCCCGAGGCCTCTATAAAGAGCACCAGTTTCTCTACAGGCATGTTTGCCAGGCTGTCCAGATCTCGGGAGGCGCCACCGAGTATTCGGTGACGTCTCCCCATGAGTGCAGGAAGACCATATGATAGTTCTTGGCGATTTCAATTTGCCAGGTACTGTTTGGTCTTCGGTAAACGAGTCTAATAGCCTTGTGCCCATGTCACTACATGACTTTATCGACGGCTTGCTAGACCCCTATCCCTGTCTCAAGTCAACCATATGAAAAATTCCTTGGGTCGATTGCTTGATCTGTGCTTTGTCTTGGATCCGACCATAGCGTTGTTAACCCGAGCCCTCCCGCTCACTATACCTGAAGACTCCTACCATCCTACATTCGAAGTGTCAGTCGATATTGGCCCTACTGTATTGGATCGAATGGGTAGGCTATCTAAACGTTTCCGCTGCATTCGTAAAGCCGAGTTTACGAAGCTTAGTAACCTCATTAGGGATTTTGATTGGGCCGCTCTGTACTTGTGCACTGACGTTATGAAAGGCACAAACATTTTTCAGAATGCACTTGACACATTTTTTGATTCTTGTGTCCCACTTCCTTGTCCGGTTAGATCTGGGAAGTTGGTTCTCCCTCTTCTCTCTCTCGCTATTTAATAGCTCGGTCAAATTTCTCCGTTCTTAACGCTCAATGCTATAAAAATTACCTATCTCGATGTAGGATACGATTTTCACAGGACCCTAAACAGTTTTACAGCTTCGTAAATAGTAAGCGTAGAACGTCCGCACATCCATCCTAGCTATCATTTCTCAATATGTCAGCAAACAATAATCAGGAAATTGCCGATCTTTTTGCCAAATTTTTGCAAACAACCTATTCTCATGAAAGCTACTCTGGTCAGCCGTATCCATACAGTTTACCAAGGTCGAATGGCATTTTCAGCCCCTTGTTATATGAAAGCTCACTGCTTCATGATCTTCGACTAGTTAAGCCGGTGTTTTCACCAGGTCCCGACGGAGTTCCCGGCTGTGTACTTAGGTACTGTGCCGACGCTCTGTGTGGACCCCTGTATAAACTATTCACCCTTTCCATTAACTCTTCATGCTTCCCCCCCATCTGGAAGGAATCTGTTATTATTCCGCTCCATAAGAAAGGTAGCAAGTCTGATGCAAATAATTATAGAGGTATATCTAAGTTATCCACTATTCCCAAAATGTTTGAAAAAATTTTAGCTCCGCATTTGCAACATCTCTGAAAATCACTTATATCTCCGTCTCAGCACGGATTTATAAGTCGGCGATCAACAACCGCCAATTTATTAGAGTTCTTTTATCATTAAAGGCTTGAAAGGTAACTTGCAACTTTACACTGATTTCAGTAAAGCATTCGTTTCTGTAAACCATTCCCTTCTAGCACAAAAACTTGACCTTTTAGGGTTTCCGCCTAATCTTTTGAGATGGGTTTCTAGCTACCTTCGCTCTAGGTCTCAAAGAGTCCTCTTCAAAAACTCCTTCTCTTCACCTGTTAAGGTTACTTCTGGAGTACCACAGGGCAGCCATCTAGGCCCCCTACTATTCACACTCTTTATTAATGACCTGCCTTCAGTATTCAAAAACTCTCGAGTACTCATGTATGCGGATGATGTTAAACTCTGCGTCCAGTATATGGTGCACCCAGTGCAAAGTACAACAGGAGCGTAGCCTTAACTGCGTGGCCTTAACTGGGATGCAAGTGGGAGACGGCCATCTTACCCTCGTAGATTGCTTTTAATAAACCTTCCAACCTTAGTTAGTCGTAGAAAAATGCTTGGGGTGATTTTTATGCACATCCTGATCAAAAGTGACGTAGATAGCCCTGACTTGTTGAGCCGCATAAACTTTACGGTTCCTATTAGATCTACTAGAAACTTCATTCCTTTGTTCCTTCCGCTTTGTAGATTCAATTATTCCTTGCACGAACCATTTATGGTCCTATGCTCGGACTTCAATTCCCTCTACCATATAATATCCACCACTAATTCCCTTCCTCTTCTTAAATCACTAATACTTACATACCTTTACCGCAATTAGTACAATTTCTTAGCAATCTTTGCATGTTTAGCTCTTTAAGTTGTGTTTAGCTTTAATTTTCCTCGAATTTTAGTCTAACACCTATCTTTCCTGCATGATCGGTTCGGTAACACGCATCGCGCGTCAAGCGGCAGCGCCCCTCGGTCGGTTGGCGGGAGGAGGGGCTGCGTTTCTGCCTGGGTTCCGCGCGTAACAGGCTTCGGCTTGGTGTCGCATGGGCCACTTGATGGTGCAGTCATTGCATATCAACGTCCCGAGAGATAAAAACAAGAGGGGACAGACGAACGGACAGACAGACATGGCTATATCGACTTGGCTATTGATCAAGACAGAACGAAAGACTGGAAGTGGCTCAAAAATAGTTTTGAAAGTGGTGAGGTGCGGCACTACTATTTCAATGTTCGCAGATGTATATACAAACTTTATTTTGTCGAAAACGCTTTCTTCTGTGCGTTACACACATCCACGTCGACCATAAATCTAATATACCCCTTAACAGTTCGAGTACGGGTAGAAAAACTTTGCCCCAAATTTTGTTGCATAGTTTTTCGAAGTGCCGAAAATAATTTTCAAAATTTCGTGTTAAATTTAAAGCAGCTGACGCGAAATATATTTTAAATCATCAATAATACTTGAAACAATCATGTATTTTATCTTAAGCAAAGGACAATCCAACTCTGGAGCACCCAACAATCATCAAGGAAACTCTACATTACCACTAATTAACTTGCCAGAACTAAAAGATGTATGTACTGTACAAAAAATGTATACAACAATAATATAAATATATATATATTTGCTTACAAGGATCAGCTGTCAAGTGAACAAACAAAAGCATCGGCATCTGGAGCTCAATGGGTGTGTTCAGTAAATGTTGCTGAGTTTCGAAGCTTAGTCAAAACCCTCGTCGGTGGAGTTAAAACAATTACATGGGGTTTTTTTAATTCAAAAGTAAGTTAACAATTTATTTTCAAATTGTATTTTTTTCTAATATCTTTTACAGTTTCAGATTACTGATACAAGTCTTGTTACGCAAGAAAAGCTTTTTAATCCAGAGATTTTATGTGTATATATTGACTTAGTTCATTTTGCAATGGAGGCTTTAGATATTTATACAATTAACGTTAATCCAAACCAACAGCGGACTTCAGGATTAATATCTAGAAGTAAAGAAGAAAAAGAAGTTTTGGAGCATTTCAGTGGCATTGTAAGTGAAAAAGGATTAAGCACCACATGTCCGATTTATATTTTGATTTTTAATGATTTGATGATTGATTTTAATGGGTTCGAAATAGCCTTCTTCCAAACCAACCATTTTTAACTAATTCCAAGTATTTGTGGTAGTAAGACATTCTAATGTGGATCAGCAAATTTCTTTTCAGTTTTTAAGCTATTTTATTTTATTTAAAAACAAAAATTTGGATGTGTCATAGAGTGACTTACATAAATCACACTAGTCGACAAAACTGAAGTTTTTTTTTCTGCTTCGAACCTAGCCCACTTTTTCTGTTAGGTTTGGAGCTTTGAAATTATTTGATTAGTCTAACTATCTTACAGTTGGTTGTAATAAACTTTATCATTCTGAAAAGCATATCAACGCAGCTATAGACGTAAACATTTAGAGATTTCAGCTTACCATTTGGGAAATATTAATCTTTGAAATCCAAAAAATATGATTTTTGTTTGGTACTTTCTTCAAAATTTTGACTTTGCATTCGAAAAGTCGAAAAAAATTATATCTGGTGTCCTTATATTTTTTGTATATAGGTACAAAAAATTTACAGTTTTAGGGAAGAACTTATTTTCCAAACCATCTAGTTACCCCTACTCAAAAAGAGTTAAGGGGTATATTGTGTTGGTGGTATGGAGAATGAATCGTTTCCGACCCCATAAAGTATTTATATTCTTGATCAGCATCAATAGCCGAGTTGATATAGCCATGTCTGTCCGTCAGTCCGACTTGATGAGCGCCTAGATCTCAGAGACTATAAAAGCTACCCCAACCAAATTTTGTTTCCAGACAGACTCATGTGATATCACACTGCTAAAGTGTATTTTAAAATTTCGCCCCGCCCCTTCCACCACGTCAAAGGACGAAAATCTGAGGCATCCACAATTTTTAAAGATACCAGAAAAATAAAACCGTAATATCGTAGAGAATGACCATATCTACCAGATTACCGAATCTGAATCAGATCGAAAATTATTATAGCCACAGTAAAAAAATTAATTTGCAGTGGCTACCCCCACCTCCTCCTGCGCTGGTGACGCTACTTATTCTCTTTCTCGCTCGCACACACTCTGCCCTGTGCAGTGCGCAACCTTTCGCAGAGAAGATGAAGAATCTACATTGTAGATGTATAATATACATTTCAGATGTAGAATATTAGATGTAGATTAGGCTGGGACAAACAATTTTTTTTTCGAAACTTAAACGTTTTGTTAGCTTGAATTTAATAGTAATTTAGATGTTTTTAATTTTTTTTTTTTTTTTTTAGAGGTTGCTACCGAATTTTACAAAAAATTGTAATCAAGAATATTTATCGATCTAGAAGCCAAACGGGTCCGAACCGCAAAAAGGGCTTTAAAACTTATGTAGAAGAATATTCATAAAACATGTAAAAAAAAAACTCTGGAAAACTAAGGAATATATTTTTTTTAATTTCAAGTAGAAAAACAGCCAAAAACAAGAAGGAACGTACGAGTCGCTTCTGGGGACGCGACTCTACTTATACCCGTACTCAGTCAGTAAATACATTTTTGAGCATATGATTTTTTAGAATTTTAGAATCCAAAAAAAATTTTACATTTTACATTTTTTTTACTACATCTGCTATCTACATCTACAATGTATATTCTACATCTCCTCCGCTAGGGGTTGCTCGCGCACTGAACGCGGCAGAGTGTGCGAGCGAGCAGGAAAATGAGTTGTTTGATCATAGGCATGAGGGGGCAGGGGAAGCAACTGAAAATTAATTTCTTCATTTTGGCTACAATTATGATCCGATCTGATTTAGATTCGGCAATCTGGTAGATATGGTCATTCTCTACGATACTGCGCTTTCAGTTGTATCGTATCTTTAAAATGTGATTGCCACAGATTTTCGTCCTTTATGAAGGCGGAAGGGGGTGTGGCGAAATTTTGAAATACACTTGTAGCAGTGTGATACCACATGAGTCTGGAAACCAAATTTGATTACCATAACTCTTATAGTCTCTGAGATCCAGGCGCTCAACAAGACGGACGAACGGACAGACAGACAGACATAGCTATATCGACTCGGCTATTGATGCTGATCAAGAATATATATACTTTATGGGGTCGGAAACGTTTCCTTCTCTGCGTTACACACATCCACTTTTACCACAAATCCAATATACCCCTTAACTCTTTGTAGCTGCACTTTAACGTCTGGAAGATTTCACGCTTTCAAGTTCAAATTGGATTTTTTAGGTATTTTTGACTTAAAAACTCGGATATTCTGATGGAAGTCAGAACTACACTGATAGAAACAGAGTTATATCCTTTTCTATGAATATCTAGAAGGGAAAAAGGTATAATTTGTGCGGGACCTGCACCAGGACCAGGATTTCAACATTTGACCATAACAGTTATTTATGTATATCTATCCACAACAAGGCTTAGGTATAAGGAACAATAACAAGGTATAGGACCACAACATTTACAGCCCCAATTGGACATGAACAGATAGGATATATGTTGGAGATATATCCATACCTAGGACTCGGTAAAACCAAAACTACAGGTCCTTTTTGTTTTCTGCAATCCCATTTTGGCAGTTTGACCAGCAACGGAATTTTTTAGGTAAAATGAGTTTTGAGGCTGCAACTTGGCCGTTTATCCATTGATTCTTACAAACGATACCTCAAACGACGCCTAATTAATGCGTCCATCTAAAACCTAAAACGCCAAGCCAAAACCAAGAAATATTTTTTTGTCGACTTTTCCTGAGTTTTTAAAGTAAAAAATACCGCAAAAAAATTATCAAATTTGAATATGAAAGCTTAAAATCTTCCAGACGTTAAGCTGCGTCAAAACTGCAATGCTATATGCAACCAGATATAAGATACATAAGTTATGTGGAAAATAGAAGCACTACCTCTGAAAAAAGCATCAGAAAAAGTAAATTTGGGCCACAGCGGAAAAAAATTTAAATTTTATCGAGTAGTGCAAGGAAGGATAGGAACAAATATACTTACACAAATTGCAATTTTTTCAGAAAACAAATTTTCATACAAAAATGTATAAAAATAAAATCTATCATAAAATGTTCTGTTCTACAGAATGACACAAAATTAAATAAGCGTTCAAACATACATTTTAATAACAAATTAGAGCTTTTTTTTGATTAAAAACTAATTTTCGAGGAACCTACTTATAAAAAAGTAAAAACTTTGTATAGAAACAACGCCACATACTCTAGCTATCATTTAAAAACAACCGCTTGCAATTTGCTGCACGCGCTGCGGAGAAATGAAATAGGCGTTCAAAAACACACTTTTTTTTACCAAATTTAAGATTTTTTTGATTAGGAACCTATTTATATTTGTTGCACGCGTTGCGGAGATTACACACGGATTTTTTGTATAAATTTATAGTATTGATATAAAAATTTTATTTTTTCGTAATGTTTTCTGTAGATTCGGTTTATATGTACAATTTGAGGGTGCTACAACTCGTTTTGATAAAAACTAATGAGCTCTGAAAAGCTAATGAATCCAGCTACCAATCGGACTTGAAAACTTTGTAGCTTAAGATTTTTGTATGGGAAATATTATTAATTTTGCGCCTTATGTGTGATAATATGATCAATATTCTAAGCTAGACTTCCAGATATGAATAAGATAGTTTTAGTCCGGTCATATCCTCATTAAGGGAGAATGGATCGACAATATTCGCATACGTATGTATATATAATATAATTAATTATTTTGAACTTTTATTGTTTATTTAACAGTTCCTTATGATGCATTCGCAGAACTTTCAAGAAATATTTGCGACTACAATCAATTTTTTGGTGGAGAGGATCTATAAAAATCAATCCCTTCAAGTAATAGCAAACTCGTTCTTAGCTAATCCAACAACATCGCCGCTTTTTGCCACAGTTTTGGTGGAATATCTTTTGGAAAAAATGGAAGAAATGGGATCAAACGTTGAGCGATCTAATTTGTATCTACGGTTATTTAAACTAGTATTTGGAAGTGTCAGTCTCTTTCCTGTCGAAAACGAACAGATGTTACGCCCGCATCTGCACAAAATAGTTATCCGCTCAATGGAATTGGCATTGATTTCTGATGAGCCTTACAACTATTTTTTACTACTTAGGGCATTGTTTAGATCTATAGGTGGCGGCAGTCATGACTTACTATACCAAGAATTTTTACCCCTATTACCAAATTTATTGGAAGGTCTAAATCGATTACAAAGTGGATTTCATAAGCAACATATGCGCGATCTTTTTGTGGAGCTTTGTTTGACTGTACCCGTTCGACTGTCATCTTTACTGCCTTATTTACCAATGTTAATGGATCCATTAGTTTCTGCTTTAAATGGTTCACCTACTTTAATCAGTCAGGTAAGTTTTGAACATTTATAAACCTACAAACAAAGAGAAAGTCATTTTATGTTAGATAATGTAGACTAATTTATTTTTTGATTGAATTCGCATTGAAAAGTTTGATATTTTTTGTGATAAACCTATATAGTACATACATACATATAACTATTTATTGTACAAACTAATTTTCGGATACAACATAAATGAACAAATTTCCGTGAAAAAAAAAATAAGTAAAATAAATAAAATGCTATAAAAAATCGATGCTGTGCGGTAAATAAGAATTTCAAATATCGGACAAAACGAGACTCGTTTCGATTTGTGTAA